ATATATATAAGGTAAATTTCAAATTTTCTATACAATTTCTTCTGCAGAATTATTTTATTTAGATAAATATATGCTCTATATTTTAATTTTTAAAATATCATTAAAAATTCCTAGTATTTTATCATTACATCCGGCATATAACATGGAAAAACGTTTAAAAAATTGAAATCTCTTCTAAAAATAATTTGCATTAATTATAATGAAATTTTAATTAAAATCAAGATTTAATTCTACTTAACAATAATAATAATAAAAATAATAATAATAATTTCTGTTCATTAAAAAAATGCGTGAGAATTTATCACATGGTTTAATAATTACAACAATTCCCTTTCTAGATAAAAATAAATAGTCATTTAAAAAAATAAATAAATTGCTTTAATAATTTATATGCATTAAAATTATAATAAAAGCTTAAATAAAGAGTATTAATTAAGGTATAATTTATACATTTTTTTTTTAAATCAAGAATAATTCTCGTTTGTTGGAGATGCACGAAAATATTTTTATAAAGTTTCAGATAATCTGCAAATGTCTGCAAGATCTTACCCGGGAGTGAGAGCACGTGACGTTATTTGTCCTATGACGTTTACGTGCCCGTTTTACGTCACTGTTGCAGTAAAAGGGCTGATGTTGCTATGGTTACGACACATGCTCGTATCGAGCGTTGGTTGCGAGATGATTCGAACGTTTTCTTGTGTTATGCTTCGAAAGGAATTGATTTAGTAAACAGTTACGGCGAATGGTAACAGTTATTGCACAAGGGGCTTTAATTGTTAGGTAAGTAGCATTATTTTTTACTATTTAAATCGTCTTTTTTCCCAATACTTTATTACGGTTTAAGGGTCATAGACCTTTAAGCTACGATATTGGGTCAATGTGACGGGTAATGTAACCTTATCCGATTTTTAACACATAAAAAAATAAATAAATATTACAAGACTCCTAATTTAATTATTAAAATATGATGATGATAAGGGAATTTTTTAAAATTTACTCTTCTCATCGTTAGGTATTTTTATATTTTGCAATTTAATAATAATAAATTTTTATGTTTTCTACTCTGAGATCGAGTGGAGAAGGCGAATATTTTATTTATTTATTTTTGATATTTTTAAACGTAAGTTTAATTATCTTTTATATATATTTCGGTTGCTGATTTTATTAAAATTAGTTTTTTAATTTTTCGTTTAATTTATGCGTGTAAAATATTTGCTTTTTAAGGAAAAACCACCGACGCGTAACAACGTCTTATGCGCCCTTTACGCAATTAATTCGTGCATTTAGGATATTTATTTTAAGAAAATCACTTGTGCAATAATTAACGCATTTAATTTTCTAAGTGTTTCTGCTCGTTTTTAATATCTAGCGTTTATTTAAGGTAGATAATCAAACTAAATAAACAAGTAAACTGTACAGTTTTAGTCTGGAACACCAGGGCGGAGCTACAGGTGTTTATATTTACTTAAATCATGTGAATATCAAATTTAAAACAATTAATTTCCCCCCTCCTATTAGGAAAATTTTAGAAAAAAAGTGGAATTTAGGGATATTTCCAGAAAGGTTTTTTTCCCCCTATCAAAATAAAAATTATTTGCAAAGAGACCTTATATCGACCGGAATTGGGTTTGGTCGTAATCACGTGTAACAGATGTAAGGTGGAGCTAATCCCAGGACTGTAGCTTCGAGGAAGATGAAAATGCAAAAAAAAAAATTAGAATAAAAAATATTCAATCCGCCAATATTGAAAAGTAGACAATGACAAAGCAATGGAAGATTCTGTGACGTTTACAGAAAAAAAATTAATAAAAAATAATACGAATAACACGAAAAATTGCCTATATAATTGATTGCACGTGCCACTTTATACCACTTTATATATGACAAATCTTTCACGAACGACGAATACAATAACGCAATTATTACGTATTCTGTGTTCGTCGTTTTGAAAATGACACAACGATCTGTCTATCACGCATTGTTAACTTCAAACAAAAAAATAATAATAAAATAAAATAAAATAAAACACTTCCCGCTCGCCCGTGCATTTAGGTTATTTAGTAATATCTCGGTGTAAAAATGTAAACAAAAAAAAAAAAAATGTTGAGGTCGGGTCACGGTCTCGCTCTTATTCACTCCTTCAATGTCACGTTCCGTTGGATGCGACAAATGTCAGAACGGAAAAATTGCCATCCTCCGGAAAAGTGATGTCATCGAGGGTGCGACGACCGTCAGATTGTTTTTAAAATTTATATACATACAGCGTGTATATGTATAAACTATACTATAAGGTGTGAGATACACGTAAATGGAGTATCATGCAGTTTAATTTCGTTAGGAGTGATCTGTCTGTGGGATTTCCTATGACAGTCTAAACGGAGGGGAAACACGGATTTGTCATTTATTGAAATCGCAAGTAAATAGACTATCGATCAGGATGATAATTTTTAAATAAGTCGACGATTAAAAATAACTACTTGTCCTGTTATGTTTAGTAAGTCCAAGTGTCTTTTTATAATAAGTAAATCCCTATTTTTAGTTGGCTACTAAACTTAATTCGGCCCTACCGTTTAAATATAACTGCATATTTTTATAACTTAATTTCTTAAATTATTAACGATTTAAATATATTATTTCTTTATTAACACGAGAGAAATTTTAATGTAATTTAAAGAAAAATCGCCGTGTCAACAATAGCCTATGACGTATTTAAGTAGGCCATTACATTGAATGATTTTTTATATTATTACTGTTGTTGTAGATTAGGGAAATTAAATATTTATACAGAATTTATACTCATATATATATATTATATATATTTTCCGTTCAGCTGACCTTTCAAATTTAACAGTAATTTACATACCAATACTTGAGTCCATAGATTAAATCTATTTAAACATTATCGTAGGCTAGACATTTTTAAAAGGTAGAGTTATAGCTTTTATAGACTCTATCAGATTTATTGGTGCATACAGGGTGTGTCCAATACAGTTAAAAAGGTCCGGGACGTAGGGTCATTATTCTATTTTGGCTTGGTGCCAGTTGACCCTATTGAATTTTAAAACGATCATGCTTTACTTTTTTCTTGTATTTTTTTAAAAAAATGATAGCTTAAAATATTTAACGAATTTTATTATGACTTTGTTTATTAACAGGAGTTAGAAGATCTCAGTTTGGTGATTATGTGCTGTCTAAGGTTAAATTTCCATGATGACGAGTGAACGACGGACCGAAACCATGCCTAGTCGTTCCTTACATAAAGTAGCAAGCGGTGAGAATACACATGGTAAGTGACCGGGGGAAAGTGGTAGAAAGTTTAAGATAAGAGTGTGTCAATTGAAAAGAAATGCGTATTTATGGAAGCGATATCCTGCACGCTCTGTTGGAGCAACCAATATCACTCGTCCATTGGGTTCTATATATAGAAACCACCGGCTTCTAAATATGGGCGCGGTCTATTGCTTCTGTAAAAATCTCTCCTCCTTCCTTTCACTCAATTTGGTTACTATAAAACCAGATTGCCTACTTTATTTAAAGAATTTATCGTTAACGGTGAATGTACTTATACTACTTCTTCATCCTTATAAATTACGTATGAGCGTGTTAAGGTGTTAGAGTCGTATACAAAGCGCTGCAGTCGTACTAAAAGGCGTGACTATGACTTTTTTACAGACAAAATAACTTATTTAAATTAAATTTTAACGTTATATAATCCTTTAGAGTAACTTTTTTTTTTGCTGTTAAACCGAGCGCCTTGGCTTATAAATATACAATAAACCCCCGTAACTCGAACTAATAAGAGGTGTTTCCTTCAACAACGTGAAAAACCAGGTAATATACAGTACATTAATTCATTGAGAACAGCTCCATACAGAAGTTTTACTGGGGTTTATGCTGCTGACTTTATTATTACAGGAAGTGAGCTTTAAAAAATTTTATGGCAGTGCAGTATACAGCAATGTACAGTCTTTAATAACTTACCGACTACAGTAATATATTGTACAGTATCGCGGTGACTTCCGGATATCGAAAACACTCGTTAATTATAATTTTCCTATTGTCAAGAAATTTTAAATTCACTGTAAAATTGGGTTAACAGGGTTGAGTTAGCGTGGGTTTATATACAGTAATATACAGTAAAACTTCTCTAGACGACCACTCCTTTAAGATGGCCACTTATAAGTTTTGGGTGGTCTTTTCAATGAGATTTTACTGTATATATTTCTATACATTAATATGATTTTAAATAAAATTATGATGAATTCAGAAAGCGAATTAAATCCTAGAATTCTATTTTTATTTTGATTTAGCCAATCACATGCGTTATATTATGAAAGTGTATCCGAGTTCCTGGAAAAATATGATGGAAATTTAACGATTTTTATAATTTTTCACCCCTTTCCGATATTATTTTGAATTATTTTAAAGAAATTCATAGGCAATATATATTTATTTTATAAATTATATTTTATAGAATGTCGCATGTACTGTACTGTACATTACTTTCTGTAAAAAAGGAAAAAAAAATGTAAATGCGTTAGCGCATTTTGTAAACAACTTAAATATAATAATTATGCACGGTCGATGGAAAAAAAACAAAGATTTTTCGGTCTCCTCAAGTTTTAATGGGAGTAACTAATTCGTGATTAAAGCAGGAAAAGAAATGCTAAACGACTGCTCTTTTTAGTTCATGTATGACGTCATAGGAGGTGCGTTTCTACCCGGGAAATATCCGGAATGACGCGATAAGTCGTTATCAGCAGTTGCTATGACAACCGTCGGACAAAAACATCCTGCAGCTGGAAACATTCTTCGTAACTTAAAATAAGGAGATTTCTTTTAAGAATATTAACTCGTGTCAACTGCCATTCAGTGACATATTTCAAAATGTATTTACCCAATTGTTTAAGGTGTGATTTATTTTTTTAAATTAATATTTTTTATTCTTAATTGATTTAAAAAATATATTAAAAGTTCATTCCAAATAAAATATTTTCGAAAATTTATTATTATTTTTTTAAATATTCTCACTTTACATCTGGCAACATTGATGCTTCTAGAAAGTTTTGAATGGAGCGAGTTCGTCTGCTTCGAATTTCGTGCGTGACATTGAGAAAAACCTCATAGCTTTGTTTTTGTATTGCTAAATCGAATTGTTTGTGCCCTTAACACGTCCTTGGATTCTTAAAAACTTACCTTTTTATATTCTCGATTTAATAAATCGACTGGGAATGAGGTAAATTGAAAATGAAGCGTTAAAGTGTCAAAGACCTGGTAAACAATGAAAATGGCTGAAAATGTTCCGTATATTCTGTTGTGAAGAACGTTGGCTCTTTATGGACAAATTTAATGATAAGCAGAAAAAAGAACTATGGTACTGCTATATACAGTAACCTTGAAATATTAGATTTGGATGATAGCTTAGAAAACAAGTGGATATTTACCTCAGCTGTTTGTATCTAAACTTTGTTGTATGTACAGAAGCCTTCAAAGATTATACTGGAACAAGAACACGTTATATAACGAATCAGCAAAGACTTTATATCTATTTTGTGCTTTTATACATTTATAAGTATACAGAAAATTCTAAAGATATCCTTTCTCAGAAAATCCTAGAATATAGGAAGAAAAAATTTTTAGTTAAACATAATTATCTATATATATAATTTTCTGGAATGACACAGTTCAAAGATAATACTCAAAAAGGTTGTCCGTTAATTATGTGTATAGTTTTTGAGCCACTTTTGACCTTTCCTTGTTGTGTACAATAATGTACTTTTGACAGACCTTCTCCCCTTTAATTACATGTACAATAGTTTATAGATTTCCTGACATTGAAGAAATATTTTTTAAATTTTTAACTGCTAGTTTATTCACATTACTAGTATTTTAAGTAGGCTTTTTTAAAATTTCAATACGTGTGCCACTCTAGGTGAGAGGGGTACAGGTTAAATAGATCATTAGGGTTACAGATAAAGTTCAAAAATGATGATGAAACAATGCATATGTAAGACAAGATAAATGTTGCCACAGGCTTTATGGAAGACTGTTTTATCTTCCATGTTTCAGTTGTAATGTAGTAGAAAGATTCATATAGTAGATTTTGAACTAGAGTATTTAGTGGGCAAGACCATTCAAAATTATAAAAAATAAAAGCAGCGTTTAGCTTCAACTTAAAACGTTTAGATTAATAGATAGGGAGTGATCTACTACATGATGAATGGTTTCAATTTCTCCAGTTGTATATGAGTGAAGACACTTATGGCTAGATTATATGTTCCTAGGTAGTTCATAAAGTTATGTCTTATTAGAAGTTTGTTAGCATGCAAGAGTAATTTTCTATATATGATTTAAAAAAGTCTTAGATTGTAGAAAAGAAACACTTGGTAACAGCCACTAATACTATTAAAAAAAGTCCACACAGACAATGCCTCAATTCCCTCTTTTCCCATTGTGTACAGTGATGTATTTTTCCCAACCCCTTCCTCCTTTAAACTGTACACGTAATTAATACAAATGCCTCCAAAGACTGTTATTGATTCAAAAGTAAAGATCAAAGAAATAGTTTTTTTGGAGAGGTAAGTTTTGTATTAAATGGAAATATATATATATACAAATTTATAAATTTGATGAAAAGATTTCTGTTTGAATATATCTGAATACATTTTCCAATTAAGGATCTTTTTAAGAAGTTTTTAAATCAGTAAAAAGCGTTGATGCCAATCCATTTACTTCAATGAAATTTATTGTGTTGTTTCAGAAAGTAAAAAGATATCCATTAATTATAAAAGAAAAATGTTTTGATAGCAGTAATTATATTAGGTATATTATGTAAATTAACAATGCTTGGGATATATTTGCATCTGTCTTAATTTAGTTACATTTTTCACTTATAATTGCTTTATTGTTTGATGTCCAATTACATTCTTAATTTAAATCAAGTTAATTAACAAAGCTTATACAAATTGAAGTTTATTGATGAAACATCAATAATTTGTAATTAAAGTAATCTCTTGGGATATAATTAGAATTGTTTTATCAAAGCTAAATTTGATAATTATAAATAAATGATATTTTTAAACTTTTTTGTAGAATATAGTAACATGTTATAATAATGATTCATGTTACAGAAATTAATTTCATTCAATATATGTCTAATGCAGAATAAAACTTGTGAAAGAAATTAATTTTGAAATTATTTCAAAATATTTCATTTATTAATTAATTTGAAATAATTTCAAAATTTATATTGATATGAATTATATGTAGAAAAATATATTTAATTTTTATATAAAATATTATTATATAATATCTTATATAAGATATAAAATGCTAATTTTGTTTCCGAAAAAATGGATTAATATTTTAGAAATAAAATATTTGTTCAATTAGCGTCTCTACATTTAAGATTAATGATGTATTTAAGTAATGATTTGTTAATTTATAATTGCATTGCACTAATACTAGTTAATGCTAGTAAGTCATTGTAATACACAAGTAATTAAAAAAGTAATTTTGAAAAAATACATAATCGGTTTCAATAAAAAACATAATTTGTATAGTAATATAAAAGTTTAATATGTAATTATTTTTAATTGAAATGTTCATTTTATTCAGTATTTTTTAGAGGATAACTATTAAATTCACACAATGACTTGCTTCTATTTAAAGCTATAATACGAATTGGTTTTAAATTGAACTTTTTTCAATATTTAATTAGCGTAGATAATTTATAATGATTTAATTTATTTAGTAAAGTTTGAGAAATAAGTCCAAAACGAGCTTTGAATCTACAACTCATGTTCAACACTGATTATTCTACCTGAACAAACTGAACTATAAACATATTAGTTTAGATCATAGGTAATTACAACTATTGAATTTGAATCTTGTTCTGGGTCATTGTTTTTCCAGATTTCTAAATTTAAGTTATCTAATCATTAAAGATATTAATAGATGATGGCACACCTATGAAAACTGCCAAAGTATCCTAATAATTAAATTATTTAATAATTAAATAATTTAATAACCAATAAGTATCTAAATATAATTTGGCAATTATTAAAGTTTGATAATAGTATCTGGGTGGGTAATTCTATATTAAATAGAAACCAATTCAGGTCAATTACAGAAATGTGGTCTAGTCTTAAGACCTAGTTTAGTCCAAATTCTAGACTGCAGTTAATATTGGAATTTTACCAATGGTGCTTAACTATGATTGGAAGCATATCAAAACTAGCTTGTATTTGATTAACTTATCTAAGTCAAGTTTTAAATCTGTACTTCATATCTGTAATTGGCCCTTTAAATTCCAGAATTCATAGTCAATACAGCCTGTCCATAAATTACGTTCACATTTTTCTTCAAATTTTTACTCTCCCCTTTCCTTTTGTCCCAGTTTTTCCAGGTTTCCATAACCCCACCCCTCTTCAGACATCCCCTTAAAACTTTTATCATTTGTAAAATGATATCTATCATAATTAGAAACAAAACATACAAGAAATTTTCAAATAAAATAAAATGAATAAACTTTATAAAATTTAATGAAATAAAATGGATGTCTATCCTCCCCTTTCTTTATCTGACTTTGTCCGATTTGTCTTAATGGAGAGCTCCATAATTGTGAATATACCTGTATAACTTTACTTTTAATAGGTATTCAAAATATATAGCAACCAGTATGCTAATATAAAATAATATATAATGCAAGATAGTTAAAAAAAAAAGAATGTGTATGTGTATATCAGTGAACTAGAGTATTTTATCTATTTATAACTAATTACATACAAGTTAGCATTGTAATAATTTCTATCTACACTATGTGCTATAAAGTTTTTATTTTGAGAAATTGTTGAAAGGTCCTTCTTTTTTGATGCAAATCTTGCAATTAAATGATGTTCAGTCTGAGCCATAATTTGACATAAGGAATTGCATCAATAAATGACAGTTACCAATAACAATTATTATTGTGCTAGTTGCAGTTCCTTATTATATTAGTTATCATAGATATTAATTGTGGTATACTGACTGAATGCACACCTGGGTATGACAATTTAAAGAAGTAATTTTGTTATATACCGATTTTATATTCATTATTTGTAACTCATTTTAATAATAATTTTAAATGAAATTTTGAATGAATTTGGCATAAAATTTCAGTTAGGCCCTATAGCTTCTGAAATATTTAATTAATTTACCTAATTACCATCGAATTTATTTTTAGTATGGGAATGCTTATTGACTAATATTAATTCTTTTGCCTCTATGTCCTTACTGTATTAAATTTTTTATTATATCATTGTCTACATTGGATTTAGTATATTAATAGGACTTATTATACTGGTGTTATTTCAGTTTTTTGCAAATAGATGAGATCTTATTCAGAAAAACAATCTTTATTTTTCACCTGTACACTCTATTTTTGTATTACGAACCTTAAGGCCATGTTCAGCAGGTTTACAATAATAATATTCTATAACAAAAAATTTATAAAAGTTATAACAATTTTATACCCGACAATAATGTGTAAAATTTATTAAATTACTTACATGTTTCTTGTTTTCTGTTATCAATACATCAATATATAAATAAATTATCCATAAAAGGATTTTTAACATTATTTTATCTTTTAAAGGAATTTGCCTATATAAAAAATAAATACTTGTTTAAAAATTAAAAGGTTTTCTTAAAAATTGTTAAAATTTACTTTACTCACTTATCCACCTATTTTTTATCCTATCTATGTAGTTACTTTTTCCGATAATCTTTTTTCCCTTTAAAATACCTTTCTACTGGTTACTTCCTCTACAAATGATGCTACTCCATGATTGGTGAATCTCTCTTCCTAAATTATTATTAATTTTATTATTTTGCCTATTTATATAAATATGTTCGAATAACTGTCTTTTAAATGCATTTGTTTCTTTTTTTCTTTATTTTTACTGTATTTAAATCAATCTTACATCCTTCTTTATTACAATGCTCTGCAACTGCCAAATTTGCATACTTTCTTTTAATTGCTCTAATATGTTCTTTTTGCTTATTTTAAGTTTTATTTTTGTCTCACCTATGTACATTTTTCTTTGTCTACAACTACAATCAAAAGAATATACCACTCCTTTTTCTTCTATTGTTTCAATTTTTTTATTATTTCTATAATATAAATATTTTTAAAATAAATCCATTTTTTTGGGTATTAAATTCATTTTATTACATAATATTTTCTTTACTCTTTCAAATAATTTAGGAATATAATTTAATTTCACACATTTTTTATCAGTATCAAATTGTTTATTTCTTGGTTTGTTGTTAATTATCTTATGTTTCCATTTATCTAGTAATTTTTTAGGATAATCGTTAAACAAAAATATTTTTACTATTTGTTGGTTTTTCTATTTTACTTGTTCTACCCTTAATTTTATCTACAGTATATACATTTTAAATGTATTAAACTTTGTAGTTAATGGTACATTTGATTTATAGTTGAGAACCTTAGATACCTGCATAAGTTTAACATATTTTGTATATTCTAGGTTATCATCTTTTCTTTCTATTATAATGTCTAAATAATTAATACTATTTTGCTTTTTTGTTTCTATTTCAAACTGTATATATTCTTTAATTTGATTTGCTTGTTCCAATATTAATTCTTTGTTTGTTTCCGTATTGTCAAATATAATAATACAGTCATCTACATACTTATTATAAAATTGAAATTCTTTTATATTTCTTATTTTTTCATCTATTAGTATCATAAATATTTCTGCCAATCTCAGGCCTATACATGTTCCCATCAGTATTCCTTCTATTTGAGTGTAATATTTTTATTTTTTATTTATTATCTGTTAGCTTAGTTTTATATTTATTTATTATCTGTTAGCTTTTAACAGAAATACTAATATAAAGTATTGAGGAGTGTTGAAAAGTTTGCAACTTTATCCAGATGCAAGAGAGCAAGAACTATACTATGAGAATAATAGAGAGAAGTCCTTGCTAGAATATATGTGCCATAAGAGTCCATTATGACCATTAATTTGCTTGATTTGGCAATCTGAATTTATGATGACTATGTTAAGACCGGAAATCAACAACATTGAGAATGCAGAATGCAGTCTTATTTATTGTGTTTGTCAATGAGTGTGATGTCTGGTCTGTTGTGATAAATTGTTTTATCTGTGATTATGGCTCTGTCGTAGTACATTTTGTGCATGTAGTTTTCCAATACTGTCTGTGGAATGTATTTGTAGTATGGTTTGTGAATGTCTGCCAGTTTGTGTTTCTTTGCAAGCTCTTGGTGTATTATATTTGCTACTTGATTGTGTCTGTGTAAATAATCTGTCTGTGCCAAGAGCTTGCAACCAGAAGTGATGTGTTGTATAGTTTCTGGCATGATGTGACATTTTCTGCATGTGTCATTTGTGAGTGTTGTATCTTTGAGTATGTGTTTTCTGTAGTTTTTAGTATTTATGACCTGATCCTGTATGACAATGTGAATCCTTTCGTCTCCCCAAAGAGGCATCCCCGATCTAACCAGCTGTTTGATGCAGTTTTGTCAACAAAATCCTGGGCAAGGTCATAA